TGTCTCATACAAGTCGAGTTATATAGTACTCAGAGGGTTTAGTGCTTCTTCTCATGCAGACAGACAAGGTTAGAGATACCTTAAGGAAGGATTCAGACAAAAAGGCCACAGAGCGGGTCATGGTGTGTTTAAAGAATGTGCAAGGGCTTGAGAGAGAGGAGAGAATATACATAAAATAGTTTAAGAATAAAATAGTAAGGTCGTTTATAAAGAAATACAGTAATAAAATATATAATAAGTCACATAAGGATGGAAAATATATGGAGAGTCTTGATATTATATGTTATTGTGTTGTCATTAACTTTTTGAAGTCTAATGAACAAATGATAAATGCTGAGATACATTTGATTATAAAGCCTGCTGTATTAAGCCAACCTATATATTTTTCAAATGACTTGACTTCAAAATTTAAGTCATGGGGTATATTTCTTGGGGAAAGAAATTCTCCTTTTGTTTCTGCAGGAAATGATAGTCTCTGGATTCATTATGTATTAAGAAAAATCAGGATTGTTTGAGAAATACCCCCTGAAATCCTAACTGCAGACATGAAAAAATAAAACTAAAGTAACAAGACATGTAACATATATTTTACCTGTTCAAACAAAATGAAAAAAATTATCTTTGACTGGCTTGTGTACAATATACAGTTTCTACTTGTATTAATACAGATATGTATGGCAAATTTTAAAATGCATGTATTCTCAGAACAAGAGAACCATACACCAATAAAATGGTCCAAATGATCCAATACAAAACAACTTCAAGGCTACTGATTGAGATGATCTAATCTCACAAAATTCTACAGCCAAGACTTCTGGAAATGGTCTGTCAGATACACAGGCTTAAGGGACCAAAGATGAATGACACAACATTTCAGAGAAACTTTGGGAGACTGTCCAGGCAGCCTGATAACACTGACACTATGTAACATTTCACCCTTCTGTGGCCTTTGACGGAGTTAAAGACTAAATAGTTATATGGTTTTCCTTAGTCATAATCCAAAGTAAATTAGATGCAGAACTTTAGTATCACCAAGATAAGATATATGATTAGTATTTTCTCTAATTTTGCCAAATGCAAACAGATTTGAATGTGTTGCTATAATTCTTACTTAATAATTTTTGTTGTTTATAATATTACTATGTTTAAGTTAAAACCTTCATTTTTAAATTAGACAAAAGGGTGAAATGCTGTGGAATAATCCTCTTCTATACTGTAAAGAATTGTCACTCAAAATGGTTTAATAAAATGTTGATTGACCACTAGCCAGGCAAGAAGTCTATAGATGGGGTCACCAAACTAAGAATTCTAGGAAGAGGAGTTGCCATCTAGGCACAGAGGAAAAAGATTAGATTGCTATACTGAGAAAAGGTAACAAGCCTTGTGGACAAATATAAATAAGAATTATGGGATATTTTAAGTGTAAAAGCTAGTTAGTAATAAGCCAAAGCTAAAGGTTGAGTTTTATAAGTAATATTAAGTCTCTGAGTCAATTATTTAGGAACCAAATGCTGGGTGTTTGTGAATTGGTGGGACAGAAACTTCTGCTTACACCTGAGGGTTGTTAACTTAAAAAATAGCTGTATTGTCTCAATACTTACTGACATTTTTCTATTATACACATGATAACTGTAATGATGGCTACCACGTTGCCCTAGGTTTGAAAATAGCTAAAAAATTAACAGCAGTATTCACTGATGGAAACACTGGAAGGAGTTATATCTCATACCGTTGTCCTCTTTCTGTTGAGGTTAAGTACCACAGTAAGTGTACACAGTAAACAGAGACCAATATCGCTCTCCTTAGACATGAGCAGATGCCATTACTACAGCCTGTGACACCATGGAAAATTTTGTTATTTTATTTAAAAAGTCTTCTCTAAAACATCCTGAGTGAGATAACCCAGACAAATAAAGATAAACATGGTACATGCTCACTCATATGTAGATATTAGTCTTAAAATAAAGGTGACTATGCTACAATCCACAGAGCCAGAGATTCAAGGTAAAAAAGAATGCATGGGGGATGGGACACCCAAATCTCTGTAGAAAGGGAAAATAGAAGGGATTCAAGAGTGGACTAAGGGCACATGGGAATAGGAATATGAGAGATGAGGTTAGGAGGACATGCTGACAGGCACTTCCACGGAGGATGGCATTTCAGTGTTGAAAAGCAGTCTGGTGAAGATAAACCTCCAAGAGTCTATGTGAAGTAACCCCAAATTAACCTCCTAGCAATAGGAGATAAGTACCCTGAATTGGCAGTCTTCTGTGGCTAGATTTCTGCCTGGCATAATTGTCTTCAGAAAGGCCTCATCCAGCAACTGATGGAGGCAGACACAAAAACCCACACCCAACTATTATATGGAGTCAGGAAATCCTGTGGAGGAGGAAAAAAAGAGTGTAGGAGTTAGAGGGGTCTAGGACTCCATGGGAAGGCTCACACAGTCAACTAACCTGGGCTCATAGGGGATCACAGAGACTGAAATAAAAACCAGAGACCTCCATAAGGCTGACCTAGGCACTCTGCATATATGTGGTAGTTGTGTAGATTGGTTCTCTAATGGGACTCTTAGTGGAGGTAACAGGGGCTATATTTGACTTTTTACTGACTTTTGAGACCCTGCTTTTAATACTGGGTCACTTTGCCCATCATTAATACATGGGGAGGTGCCTTGTCTTACTGCAACTTCATATGCCATGTTTTATTGATAATCCTAGGAGACCTTCTCTTTCATGGATGGATACAGAAGAGGAGGGCGTTGGGGTAGGAGGCAGGGAATGGGGGAAAGGGACTGGAAAGGGAGGATGGGAGAGAGTCTGGGGCCAAGATGTAAAGAAATTGAAAAATATAAACAAATTAATAAATAAATAAAATGTCTTCTCTACCAAAGTAATTTAACTTATGTGTAATGTGATACAGGGATATAAAGGAAAGTCCTAAAGTAATTTCTAGGATATCTTCCTTATGTTCCTGCTCCTCTTTTTCACCTTCTGATTCTCCAGCTTTACCATCTTGTTTTCCATGACAATCATGACCTAGATGAATGTACTTGACAAGTCAAAGGCCATTTTAAGATTATAAATTACTTCCTCCTGCTGACAATGAAGATTAATTATATATCTTAGTGCCTTAAAATCATTTCTATGGAAGTCTGTAGACAATTAAGATATATATCTAAGGAGACAAAGAATAGTGGCAAAATTATCTCACTGTCATGTGCAAGCTATACAGCTCAGGCAAATGTAATACTTAGTTTTAAAAATTTAGAGGCATTTTATAACTCATATTACAAAAAAAGACAAAAATGTCTGCTTCCACCACTTGTATACAAACCAATAGCACAATATTTAAAAAGGCATAATAAGAAAATAAGTAATGAAAGAAACGAAATAAAATATTTCCTAATGGATAACACACAAATTCATAAAGAAAGAATATCAACATAAATATTTAAGAGAAATTACAATAAAATCTTTACATATACTATGGATAACATAATTTCCCTTGTACATTAAACGTCATCCATGTGAGTAGAGAATATGTCTGTGTTCATAATATGAGCCACCTTTTTAAAAATGCTTTTATATGTATGACTATTTTGCCTGTATGTTTGTAAGAACATTGTGTGCAAATCTGGTGCCCCCAGAGGTCAAAAGAGGGTACTAAATCCCCTGCAACTGAAGTCAAAGATACCTATGGGTCAGCATATGGGTGCTGAGAATTAAACACAGGTCCTCTTCATGTGAAAGTGGTGGTTTTAACCACTGGGTGTTCTATTCACCTCAGTGAACCACTTTTAAATGTATATTTTTCTCCATTGGACATATAAAATCAATGTAGCACAACTAATACTCCATAAGGGGTTTCTAAGTTTGACCCACTCAGTCTAGAATTTATGTAGAAAAGTAATAAAGAATAACTAAGAAAATCTGAAGCATATAAAAGTGATATTATATCTTTTGACTTGATTATTCTTTTTGTATAAAACTAGAGTGATTAAATCTGTATTCACTATAGATGTATAGATAGATGGATAGATAAAAGGGACATCATAAAGAGGCAGTAAATAGATGTTACCCACATAAGATTTCCAAAATAAAAAGAACATAGAACATTGTTCTTTTGGTTTTTGTTTGCTTGTTTGTTTGTTTGGGGTTTTTTTTGGTTTTTTGAAACATAGTTTCTCTGTGTAGCTTCAGATGTCCTGGAACTCCCAGAGATCTTCCTGCCTCTGCCTCAGAAGTACTGCTATTAAGGGCATGCGCGACCACCACCTGGCTGTGTGTTGCTTCTAAAACTATGCTCTGGAAATCAATTCTTCACTAATATCACTTTTAGAAGCATATTTAAGACAATCTTTTAGTCACACACACATAAATCTATATTTCAGTTCATGAGGTAGGATTAAAAGTGATAGGAGTGTGGCTCAACATTGTTTGATTTTTGTAAACAGACAAGAGAACACAGCAGCCATTAGAATTCTATTTAAACTGCTGCAGAGAGTTGAGATCATCAACACCCACTGAGGGAATTTGAAGACACAGCAGAGTATCATGGTTAGACATCCTTCCCTTTGTCTGACACTTGCACTCTAGCTTTTTTGAGAAATGCAAACCTCCTCTCAGATGTCAGCTTCTCTCAGTAATATTTTCTGCCCTTTAAATAGTGGCACTTACAAACTAATTTACTGAATTTATGTAATGTGTTCTGGAATGTTCACAGAAGTTTCCACTATTCTGTATGAGTCCAACCATGGGATACAACTGAGACTCCTCACAGAGAACGACTGTGTCCTCTGTTAAAAGTAGAAAAGGTGTTGGTACTCTGTATAGCCGGATGTGGTGAAGAAGGACGATATGTGGGGTACAGAGAAGACTCTTTAGACTATCTTGTCAAAACAAATGACTCTCCATGAACTTTGCTGAAAATCCTGTGACATCTGAGAAACCTTTAACAGCTGGGGCAGCCCAGCCTCTCACTTCTGCTTCCATGGGGGTTTATGTTATGACATGTATCACTGTGGGAGGATACTTATCATACTGTAGACAGTAATAAATAGCCATATCTTCATACTCCACGCTGCTGATGGTGAGAGAATAATCTGTGCCAGAACCACTGCCACTGAACCTGGATGGAACACCATTCTCCAAGTTGGATGTACCGTAGATCAGGCGTTTAGGAGCATTCCCTGGTTTCTGCTGAAACCAGTTTAAATACCTGCTAATATCCTGACTTGCCCTGCAAGTGATGGTGACACTTTCTCCCAGAGATGCAGAGAGGGAGGATGGAGACTGGGTCATCTGGATATCGCATCTGGCACCTAGGAGTGGAGACATAATAGAACCCATATAGTTAAACATGATACAAAAAGACTGCCCCCAAATACCAATCAGCAATAATCACAGTGTAACAGTGAGATTCCTATTATTTCCTTTTTTACCTGGAAGCCAGAGCAGAAGAAACCCGAAGAACTGAGCAGGAGTCCTCATATCCGTGCTGAGTCCTAACTGCACTGACAACTGAACAAGATGTGACTGGTATATGAAGAAGTTCTCAAGGCTGTGCAGTGAGTGCATGCAAATCATTGGGAACTAGTTAGTGCTGGGCACAGCTGCAAGATTTGCTCATCTCAGCAACTTGGTACAAACACAGGGTGCCTAGATGCCCAAAATGAAACCATATATATGCCTCCAAAGAACACACTTCCTTCTCAAATAAATTATACATAACATTGCTAATGCATATAAGCTCTATGATAAATAATTTATTTCAAAGATATATAGGTGTAATATAGAAAGTATCCTTATAAGGGAATAAAAAACCGAGAAGGGACTATTAAATCTTTAACTCACGCAAATAATTCTGATAGGTTAAACAATACTGTGTCTTCTCCTTGGGATGTGTTTGTGAATTTTGAAGACTAATTTCTTTAAATTAAAAGGATAAGTTATCAGGACCATTTTAACAAATTAAAATAAGATTATATATCTTTAACTATACTGACTATGGTACAAATATGATTACAGAGTAGGTGCACATATAACACCTTGATCCAAACATATGTGTCACTTAAAGTCCTGACTCCATATGAAGATGAAAGCACTTTCATACTCACAGATGAAATCAGTTGCACTTTTTTTCCATTTGAGATCTTCTATATTTACCCTTTTATATGATTTTCTCCTACTTCTTACATTTCCTTAGCACAAAGGATTGATTAGTGGTGACAGACCAGAACACTAATACAGAAAATATTACTACTCAATACATGGCTCTGCTAAATATTACAAATGATATTATCAGCTTTCACTCTTGAGCAGTAACTGAAGTGATTATGGGCCAAAGGCTAGGTAGAGGAAAATAACCTATTCTTCAGAGGCACTCTATAGTTGCTTTCTTATACTATTAACTAGATGCAATGTCTTAGTTTCTTTCACATACTAGTGGCACAATCAACTAGGGATAGGGTTTTGAACACAACATTTTGTAGAACACTATAACCTCAAGCTATAACATTCCTTCTCTGGCCACAAATGTTCATGCTTGTCTTAAAAAACACAATATATTAAAACAATTTGTGACTGTCAACTCTTAACAGCTTCAGAATTTTGTAAAAGTAAAGCCAAAAGCCACCTGTTAAACTCACAACATAATATTAGCTGTAAGATTAGATAAAATCTGTGAAAATAGAAAATGGTTATTATGTTGAATGACTGTAATCATGACATTCCTCACACTTATTGACAATGATGTGTGAATCTGGCCTGTGCTATCTATGAAGATCATGCCTCAAAAATGAAAGAAAGAGGAGAAGCAGAAAGCAAGCAAAGGAAAACCAGCCTGCATTCCACAACCCCAGAGAAACCGGGAAAAAAGAATGGCCCTAAAAGAGACATACATGGACTCCCTGAGAAGGGTAAAGGGACAAGATCTCCTGAGTAAATTGGGAGAAGTGTGGGGAGATGGAGGGAAGTAGGAGAAAGAGGAGAGGAGATGGGGAGGGAGGGATATCAATAGGGATCAGGAATGTAGAGTTGGGGGAAGAACAGAGGAGGAGGACAAGGACAGAGATACCTTAATAGAGGCAGCATTTATGGACTTAATGAGAAACATGGCACTCGGAAAATGTCTAGGAATCTACAAGGATGACAGCAACTAATAATCTAAGCAACAGTGGAAAGCTACCTTAAATGCCCTTCATCTGTAAGGAGACTGATGACTGCCTTAAATGCCATCCTAGAACCTTGATCCAGAAGCTGATGGAAGCAGCAGAGACCCACAGCTATGCACTGATCTGAACTCCTGAAATCCAGTTGTAGAGAGGGAGAAGTGATGAGCAAAGGGGTCAAGAAAATGCTGCAGAAACCCACAGAAATGACTGACCTGAGCTAGTGGGAACTCACAGACCTGAGTCAGACAGCTGAGGAGCCAACATAAGACTGAACCAGAACCCCTGAATATAGGTGTCAGTTAGCAGGCCTGGGCAGTCTGTGGGGCCTCTGGGAGGGGAACCATTATTTATCCCTAGTGCATGAATGGGCTTTGGGAGCCCATTCCCTATGGTGGGATATTCTCTCAGTCAAGATACATAGGGGAGGGCCTACGTTCTGCACCAAATGATGTGACAGACTTTGATGATCCCCTATCGGAGTCCTTACCCTCCCTAAGGAATAAATGGGAGGTGGGATAGGGGGATGGTGTGGACAATGGGGATCTGGAGGGAAAGGGAACTGGGATTGTTATATAAAATAAGATTGTTTTTAATTTAAATTAAAACTTTAAAAATCACAAAAAAGAGTATAGGCAAGCAAGATGTTTTGTTCAGACAATTCTTTTGCCAGAAGGTTGAATATTGTGGTTACAGAGAAAGAATGAATAATTTTATTATTGATCTCAAGAGGTAATCTTAGAAGAAATCTTAAAGGAAATACAAAAATATTTTATATATGAAGAGGTCAGCTCTACTTTAAATCTTTAGCATGCATACCCATGCATCAACAATATACATGAGTGATTATATATATATATATATATATATATATATATCAGGAAGTCAGGAAGTTAAGGGCAGAAATAAGTACAGTGAATTAATCATCACCTTTGATAATAAACCCAACCTAGCAAGAAAGCTATGTCAGCTACTAGTAAGTGGACTGCCTTGTTTTTATTCCCTGACATTAATGAATCCATCACTCAGCTACATACACTTCTAAAATTTATATTGTCTCCTTGGGTTTTTTTCTTTCTTTGTTTGTTTGTTTTTTGGTTTGGTTTTGTTGTTGTTGTTGGGGGTTTTTTTTTTGCCATTTCAGGAAGGCTCTCAGTCCATACTGGAGACTCCAGTTTATTCAAGCGTCCTCTTAAATAGCATGCCAAAAGCAGGCATACTGGCAAAAGACATCTATCATCATGTATATATGACTGACAAGGAAAAACTTCCTTTAAGCCTGGAGATGGTCCTAGAATGCACGTACACAAGTTTTCAGACTTTCTGTAAAGGCACATCTCAGGAGACTTCAGGTATTTCTTACTGGTCTCCTGGCACGTCCCAACATACTCCATGATGGGAATGGTGCCTAGGTTTGTTGTTAGACAAACTAGAAATCATTCTCCACTATGGCCAGGCTGTCAGGAGGTAACCAGTTGACATCTAAAAGACAATAGAAGATTCGAGCTCCTGGAATTGAGCTGAGGCCTATAACAGAAATATCATATTTGAACACCAGCAATTTCCCCCTCTTAAATTAAAGAAATAAAATCTAGGCTTCTGCAATGGGACAGATGACTGTGCCTGTCTTAGGCAGCCTTCTTCAACCTACCAGAGGTTACCTGTCATAGAATCATGCATTCCATCATGTGTGTTCTGTCTTAGGCCCCATGGAGGCAAGAAAAGCTTTCCTATCTTTGGACAAACCTGCCTCTGTAACAAAAAACATTAGTGGGGGACGGGGCATGGTTCTATATCACATGCCTCTGAGCCAACTATTCAACAGGAGCTCACCAGGAAGCTTGACAAAGCCAAACAACCTTTAAGCACTCATGGTTGCAAAGATCTCCCAAGAAAAGGAGCAGATGAACCAAGTTAAAATGGCATCTTGAAACTGGAGTAGGAATGTCTTGAGTTCCTCTTGCTATGCCAAAGTCAGAAACTGCCTTTCAAGCATCTTTTACCCAAAGACTTAAAAGCTACATATCACATTCTTGTTAGAATGAGCTCTGACCTCTAGTACCCATAAATGCTTGCATAGCATAGCAAAGTTTACAAATATTAACAATTCTAGTATGAATATCAACCATGAATATTCACTTGGAAGAATTACAATTCATTAAAGGACAATAAAAATATTATCTTGACTGGTAGAGTGCAAACAACTCCACAATCCTAAACTTTTATTTTTTCTGTCTAAAGTCCAATGCTCTGTGAACTTTCTCCTTTGCCTTGTCTAAAAGTCCAATGTTCTGATTCTTGAGTTTTCTTTAACTCAGAGCTATTTGACTTTCGATTATCTTCTTGGGTACTTTAACTTAGAGCTATATAACAATATATCTTAATCTAAACTAAAGGTAATTTCAAAGTTTTTTTGGTTATGATGCAATCCAGAGCTCTATGAACACATCTTCCAACATTAAGATTAGAAGAATTTGTTCTATCTGAGCTACTGTTATTCAATTGTTCTTCGTAATCATTAACCTAAGCCACAGTCTATATGGCTCTTCAAAAGAAGCTCATGTGTTCTTACTGTGTGACACTTTTAAGTCTTATTTTTTATCATATGCAGTCTCTGTTTTAACAGAGGATAAACATTTTTATCCTTCCCATACCTAGGCTATTTTTCCACTAAACTAACATCTATCATAATCCCTTATTATATTTATTTAAAAACCCTCAACCATCAAAATTCTATTAAACTATCATGATTATTGCATACAATCATTGTTTCAGGTAAGCAGTGCAGATTATGAGGAAACCATCTTCATATTAAACAATAGGTAAAAATGACAGGGAGAACTGGATATTTCCAAGAGATGGCCATACTGCATTAAGATCAATGGGAATTTCCCCATGCCCATTCTCACAGTGTCAGATACCAGAGGCAGAAAATGGCAGTGGAAAACATGCAAAGACACAGCAGTAGCAAGAAACATTCTGGGACCTTGCCTATCTGAGATTCACCCATCAGGGATTGGTTTCCTGGTAGACTGACCCCTGAAGTCAATTGCCATCTACTGCTACTCTGAAATGGCTGCTGTAAAAGGTTTTACTCCCTCCCAAATAGATGTGATCCCAGGGGATTCACATAAGATGGTACAGGCCTGTTTTGTGACTGGTAAGAAAATGTTAAGAATACTTAATTCCAAAGGACTTGCCCCTGATCCACATGAGAATCTCTACCATTTAATTAAGAAAGATGCTGCTGGCCACAAGAATCTTGAGGGGAACAGATTGGATAAGGATGGTAAATCCCACTGGATTCTGACAAAGAGTAGAGGCTCACTACTAAGACTAAGCAGGTCTTCCCACCCAATTGGAAATAAGAATTGCCTATAGCCTAGATCTAGTGGTATAAATTCACTTGAGGACATAAGGAATAGAATCATTTT